TGCGTACGCTACTTTGTTTTTGTTTCTGGTGGACATGACTGAGAAACCTGTTTTGTGCTCGGCTCCCATGCCCTCAGTGCAAGGCTGCCATCCGGGAGCAACGAGAGGTGCTGCGCAATGTGCAAGAAAGTGAGGGACCCAGACAGACTCAGAGAAGGGCTTCAGTGGAACCGCAGAAGTTGGGTCTGGACGAATTGCGAAGCCTGCCATCACAACAGGGATCGGGGAGTCAGAGTCAGAGAGTAAAACACATGTAACATGCGTTCTGGATGTGTTGCATGTGAAAGAATACAAAAATAGAACGTAGTGGATATGTTTTTGTGTTTGAAGACCACAAGAGGCCACTTGCATGTGTTGCCGCAGTGTTACCATTCCGTTCGTAGTGGTCAAAGTTTCTACGCAACCCAAATTCACTAACTATTGGGGATTTGCACTCATGCAACAAGAAGGCTCTCCCAAGGCGCCTTGCAGTGCAAGCTGTTCCTTTCTACAATATGTTTTTGGGGGCCGTAAGGACTGCAAGCGGCCAACAACCTGCAAGAAGAGCAGGATAAGGCAGAGATTGATCGAAATTTTGTACAGTAAAGGCTTCTTGCGGAAAATTGCAGCTTCCGTGATAGGGGTCACAGCTACTCTATTCCTGCGGGAACAGACAATCGCGTCAGTGATGGTGATCCCTTCCTCCAGAACAATTTGCTTGGCTTATGCAGCTTGGCCACCCATGTCATTCATTCTTTGGACACCAGACACAAGGCACGGGAGGAGGCCGAAGAGGCGCGTGATGCAGCTGAGGCTTCTTTAGGCTCGGCCAAGCAGCTTTCGTTGACATGCAAAATAACAATCAAAAATACGTTTAGATAGTCAACTTGGGTGTATTTTCAACTCCAACAAACAGATATTCTGCGTCCTTTGTGGTATGTTTGGACTAATTAATATATTTATATAAGATCCTTCACATTGGTCATGCTCACGCAGAATTGTCACGCATGCCGCAGCTGCCGCATGCAGTTGTCTTTAAAGAAATTCCTTTTTCGCTCAACGCCTGCAGTGTCTGCTCTTCAGGTCGACTGGGTCTCGAGCTGGTCCGCTTGCAGTCCAGAGAGGCCATGTTGCTGGAGGAGTGTGCCCGATGACCCAGACCGTGTTGAGATTTGGACAAAAACTGGTCATTCCATGTAGTCCATAAATTTAGTAGTCTCATGTAAGTCTCCAGGTTCCATCACAAAATGGAAGCATTCACAGTTCCTTGTTTCTGAAACTTACTTAAAAGTCCTTGAGATCTGAGCGGGCTGCAAGGAGTGCTTTCGTGTTTTATGATAAAACAGGGCGAAGAAAATGCAAAAACAATAATGTTTCTTAGGTCTAGTAGCAATTCGCAGCGGAAGAGATCCAGCGCTAGAATCCAGTGCGATCAACTCTCCATCACTTGGCACAGTACCTTGTGTTGCACTTCAGGCAGCCCGGAGATCTTCTGAAGAAGCTCGAGCCAAACAGGGCCAGGCACCAGTCTCTCATGATGGCAGAAGGAAGTTTGAACATGTTGCACCCGTCCGCACCAAGGCTTGACTTTTCCAATGAACAATGCCGGACTAGGTTCAACTCTCCGAGACATTGGGAAACTAGCCTCTCATGCCTCTCATGGGCACTAAGATGTACTATTTACATATTATGAAGCATACCGCATAACATAGAATGACACGAAAACAAAGGAAACCTACTAATCTGATGCTCAAACGCCTTGTATAATCCGCTCAGGAGCTGCGCATGTTGCGGCAGTCTGCTGCGTCAGAGCGGCAGCGCCGAGAAGAAGCAGAGGTTGGGGGAGAAGGTCAAAAGAAACTACACAGGGAACTAAGGAAAACGAGTAACAAGGACGCTACTAGGGGCTCCTGGCCTTACTACTAGGAGCAAAGACGCTACTAGGGGGCTCCTGGCATCGCTACTAGGAGCAAGGACGCTACTAGGAACTTTCGTATTGAACACTTTGGCCCAAGGCCTTGGGACGTGAACGTCTTGATGATATGCGGCCGGGGGCCTGCATCAGATTTGCTTCTTTCCGGCAGTCTGTGGGCAGAGCCAAGGACAAAGCTCAAGGAATGGAACACTGATACAGCAAGCTTACCTTTCCCAAACTCAAACGCAATTGTCATCTAACAGTCTATAATACATTTGGTCAACTAAATACGCGTGTCAACTTTCTTTGAAGGTTCTTGGTACTGGAATGCATTCAATCGATGTTGATACAGTTTGATGAATTAATTAATCAATCAATTGCAACAATCTACATTTGTCGATTAATCCTCCTTTCTGCAAATCTGTGTTTTCCTGTGTTTCAAGTGTCATCCTGCCTTTTTCTCGACGACCGATGGTCTTCTGAGCATGAGTTCACTGAGGCGGGAGTTCACAAAGACGCGACAAGAATTAGAGGAGCTCCGAGAAGAGCAGTACCTTGGCAATCTTGGCAGAAGCTGCCAAGCAGCTAATGATCAGGTCTCTCGGCACAAAACATACTCACATTTATGCCAATACCGTCACATACTGTATCCTTTTTGGTCTTCTCAATGGCTCAGTTGCTCGATGCACGATCCGTTTGTGACAGTGTGCTTGCTCAATATCGCCTGCAGCCCTGTCTACACCATGGGCCCTCTAAAGTCCCTAGATGGTGCCACTGCGGGAGCCTTTTGACACTTGTATCAACCCGCTCCAAACCATCAACGCCCTACACCACCCAGGCGAGCCCAGGCTTTACAAACTCTACTCCAAAGCACGCATATTTGACACCGTGACTATCCGTGACTCCTGGAGACTATTGAGATTCGTTAGTAGTTCCATGTTCAACCGCTGGACCAGAATTGTTCAAACAACTCATACATTCGAACGGCCTGCCATGCTGCAGTGAAGAATTGCAGACCCCAATACGTTGCTTTGCACGGTCTATTCTATCTCTTCGACGGATGAAAGCACGAAGTTCTACTGTAGAATAGGAATACTGAGTAATACTATTCTTTTCTAGAAAGCACATTTTTCCATTTAACACCCCAACTTGAGAACTCGTTTTGCTTTCAGACAAACATGAGTTTTTTGGTGTTGATAGTATGCGACGTCTTTGTGGACAAGAATCTAGTTGAAACCCTCAAGTCCCTGTGGCTTGCTCCCACTTTGAAAATACAAGTGCTTTAAGGATGTTAAAGGTAGCTTGTATAGGTGCGAGCCAAGATCCAGATTTAGGAGTTGCCGCCAGGCGCAGCAGCCAAGAGAAGTGGCGAAAGCAAAGAGCGTTGGAGCGCGAGAATCGACAGCTCCGGGACGGGCAATGGCAAAACCACACTGTTTGGCTGTCAAGAGCAGAATAACAAGTAAGTTCTAGCATGTCAATGCCCTGCACGAGTATGTGAAATTTGGAAGGGACTGTGAGCTTCCAGAGCAAGTTCATGTAGTTAATACGTTTTGGTGGAGCATGTCATGCTTGGATGCTCTGTGCATCTCGCTGCACAGGAGAGACAGCTGCAGTACCAAACAGCCGAAGGAGATGCAAGAAGTTACTTTGACAACTCATAGGGGCTAGGGGCAGCATGGACAGAGCATTGAAGGAGAGTGTGGAAATGTGTGGAAGCCGTGTTAAGCTTGAAACTGCACGGCTTAAAGTCGCACCTAGCATCCTGTGCTGAACTGGTTGTCAAGCACAACTATACCTGACACATACTGTACAGTACCCTTGTGTAGCAAGCGTTGCTTGGCACTTCGACGGTAAGCCATCCTCATCCGCTGTGTCGAGGTCTTCGTGTCGAGCTGCAGGATGCCTTGGCGAAAGGCGATGGCACCGAGAGACCGCGTTGAGAGACGGCAAAGACCGAGACGAATTTGAGAAACCGAGAAGACTGAGAAGACAAAGTCTTTCTTTGCCCATCGTTGTTCCAGTGTCGTGTGACAAGCACAAATGATAATGTTCAGATTCAGGTCATGAAAATCTGGGACATCACTCACATCACTCACTCAAGACTGTGACTACAGAATCACTTTCGATGTTGACTTACATTTGCCCTTGGATAGAGCACTAGTCACGTTGCATGCAGATGCTCTTTGTATGTTTTTGTGGACTCAGTTTTGACCTATTGGAAGGCGAACACTACCACGTCAGACCAATGCTGTGTGACAAGAATTGCATGGTGGTTCAAGCAAGCATGGAGCTAATTCATGATTGCAAATTGTCATATGTTGTCATAAGTATCGCATATTAGTGTGTGGTTACCATCAATTATAAACCCACGAGTGCTAAAGATGAACGATTCTTTCCCACCGTATCGTATCGGAGGTTTCAGAGATCGCCTCCATGATTTGTCCAGTATATCTTATCAAAGCAGGAGCAAAATTAAAAGTTTCCAAGGGTGTTTCTTGGAACTGCTCTGTGTCGCGAACACTAAACACCTGCCAGCGCGCCATGAAATTCGGCCAGAACCTGTGGCGGATGCTTCCTAGTGCCCTGACGACCCAACATTTTTTTACTAATCGTGCAGCATGGATGTTTGAAAGGGCCAGGAGTGTATTCAAAAGCGGCAAAACCAGGCTACTCAAAGGAGCCGCTTTCATCAAATTTTCTTACAACAAGGATCGTCGGTCTCAAGGCGGGACCAGCTTGGTATGTGCTTTGAGGCGGTGTGCCGCAGCTTCGGGAGCAGCTGGCCCGTCGTCCCTGGCGACTAGAGGTAGAACATCGGCAGGCGGCCTGGCAAAGCAAAGTATCGAGCCATATCAAACCAATAAGACCTCGAACCATCAAACCTTTCAAGAACCCTTTGAGGCTCTTCATGTTGTTTCTACAAATGTGCCGTAGTTGCTTTATCCAGGACGTTTGGTGGCCTTTATAGCCGTGACATGCCATATGCTCGGCAGTTGCAAAATAGTTCTTTCTCACAGATCCACAAGTCTAAGATTTCGCAAAAAAAAAAAAGGAATTCCACATGCATATGGTGCAAATCCAGGCGTTGGAAGTTCGGCTTGGCATGTCCACTGTGGCAGGCTTAGTTTGTTTGAATCAAAGGAACTTGCAGCAATCTTCAGCAAAGCTTTCACAGAATCATCGGAGATGCTGTTGATCAAATCATGCAAACCTGCACCATGAAGTTTGTTCACTGCAAAGCCGTTAGGCTCAGCTGTTGCCGTTTCTCTCCTCCCGACTTGGGGATGGTGATGTTGCTGTGGGGCTTGCCAAGAGCGGCCGCACCTTCTTAGGCACTGTGGGCTGTGATATTTGTCAACAAAAGACCGTGTTCTCTGTTATTTTTGCTCAAACAAAAGTATTCTATTGTTATGAAGGTCCTCGACGCCTTCGAGATTCGATATGCTTCTTGCTGAAACCTTTAACCATAAAGCGCAACCAGCCATCATCAGCCATCGTTGTTATGCGTTTCTCATGTCTCATTCTGTCTTTGTCGGAGGCCCTGCCCTTGAGCTGGGTGATCGGAAACTAGAGGCCACACAGACTTTGGTGGCACAGATGTTTGTTGCTGGCGAGGCCGCAACGTGCAAACGTGCGATGTTTTCTTGAATTTGCTGTGAAGAAAAGAGAACTGTGACTACTGTGAACGGTGTGAGCCTGCACACGCATTAGCTGCCAGCGGCGAATTTGTTATTCACAGATGAAGAGTCCGTTTGGAGCCGAATCCTCCCTCAGATCCAGCCTTTCAAGAAACGGAGAGATGTCCGTCGACGCTCTTGAATTAACAACTATTAAATTACATCATTTGTATTCATGCATGTAGATACTGATACTGTGATCCAAAACTATAGTTCAAGATCTTTCTTTGGAATCTTGGAAGCAACATTGACTCCAACAAGAGTCAGATGACTCAGAAGTGCATTGTTTGCCAGTGAGGTGCTTGAGGCCTTCAGTTGCAGCACCCCGCCCGTCGGGGCGTCTCGACAGCTCCTGCGGCAACTCTGGAACTTCCAGGAGCTTCGCTGGTTCGGAGGACTGTCATAAGTTGATTTGTCATCAAGATATAGCAAGAGGTGGAACGACCTGAGCAATTCACAATCTAATCTAATGCCTTTTAGTTTCGCGCCTGTAGAGAAGGCCGGGTGTGCTCAGCTTGCGCTCCGTCTTAGCCAGGAAATGCGCATTCCTTCGATGGCCTTTTGCGCCCAGATGACCAGCTGTTGGTGGATGTGATCGGTGCAGGCAAGCACCCAAGGAACTCAGCCCTCACAGCACACTCCCAAACTAAATTGCTTATCCAAAGAAACAGGCTTTGCTGTGTTGGTGTCATTTGACCATGCAGACAGTCGGACAAAGTAATATATGAATTGTCGAAACAGAAAACCGAAGACATTGATTGCAAGAGGGTGTGGATATGAATCTAAGAAAGACATAAGCAAAGCGCCCGACTCAAGAGGGCTTGTCGTACACCAATATGTGCATTGGTTTGTTGCTTGGTGTTGCTTGCGTGTCCAATTGATCATTTGCAGCCCACTTCCACTCAACGAGTATAGAGTATAGAGGGGCACGCCAAGAACATATTAGCCATGGGTTTAAATTGATTAATGAGTACATATGAGTACATGGCAATCGTGTGTTAGGAGTGCAACAAGGCACCTTACACCGAATTGCTCAGCTATCAGTTGCCGTTTGCTTGCCATGAAGATGTCCTTTCGACTGGTTTGATGGGTTGCGGGAGTTCCGTGCCAAAAGCCAAAGTCTATCGAGAAAACGAGGAAGACAAAGAACCGACTCCAGTGGAAGAGGTTCGAGTCCAAACGGTCGGCCTGGACGACCGGGTCGACGTCCCTCTACTTCATGACGCGTCTGTATCCCATGCCGGAAGTTTCGAGAGTGGCTGGATGGTGGAGATGTCCCCTGAAACCTGGGAGGCCTGCAATCATTCTGAGCGACACAGAATACTACAGTAATCATTGTAGTCTACAATCTTCTGCATTAAGATCTTTGTTATATATTCTTACTTCTTACCATCACTTGATTATTCATGATCAATTTTCGAGCTTTTCCTTCATCACAGGCTCTCCCTGCAGATGTGGATGAGACCCTGACGGAGGCATACTATAGTGGTCAGCCTGTAGCTCTCTACACCGTGCGAGGTGCACGCCCAAGCGAGGACATGGGATCTAGATTGAAACTGATTAAAGTCATTCACCAACTTGATGGACAACTATGGTCACAAAGATATGAAATATGGGAACTTGCAGACATGTTTGCACCCCAAAGCTTGCACAGGGCAAAGGCAGTATGACATTCAGGTGCCTGAGTCGACTCCTTCCAATAGACCTGTAGACCACAAACTAACATAAGCTAACCTGTGTTTCCAAATGCCGTTCACTCATGCATGCATGCAACACCCTGCGTTTCTTTGAGACTTTTGCAAGGATGTGAGCTATGACGTAGACTTCCGTCAGCTCATGCGAACCACTCGCAGTACTGGACAGCAGCACCGTCTACGCTATGTACCTCACCCGTCTGCCAATGCATCAAAGCTTGCGAGCACAGCCAGTGCCAGTGCTGGTAGAACGCAGTACCAGTGGGAAACAGGGCTTAAGAGGCAGCGCGTTGCTTTCTCGAAACTTTTGGCGCTCATGTTACGTTTTAAGTTTAGAGATAAAGACTTTGGCAACCAAAGTATATCACGCAAGAACACGACGTGCAAGGGTACAAACGGCAACCATCAAAAAGATGCACAGACTCGGCAATTGTGGCACAGGCCCAACAATGGACCTGCTCATTTCATTCTTGCCAATAGGATGGTGCTGGTTGTTTTTCATCCTTCATGGCCTTGAATCATAGTATGGATTCTTCAAGGGTAGAACTCATATGGTCCAGCCCTTGTATATAGATTGCCGTATGTTTTTGCGTCGCTTTGTAGTTCAGAACAGCCGTGCCAAGTTCGCACACTCCAAAGCACTCTCCCACATCTTGAGCTTGAGCTGACAAGCAGCAACAGACATTGCGGTGCAGCCCACATTGAAGCAACACGTAAGACTCTCGATCGCCTCTTGTTCAATCAGTACTAATTCAAAAGTAGCATGGGCTAATAGCACGGAGAACAACATTCACTATTCATTAATATATTTGTGATCTGCACATAATTTCCCCCACCTCACCCCCACCCCGCAAGTTGTCACAAGCACATAACTTGCATGGCAGGTCAATGGTGTAGCATGTGATCTGAACATTATGGTCCCACCCCACTCCATGCATCACAGCCGGAAAGGCAGAGTGCGACTACGAAACCACGAAGCGTGTGCGACATGTTCAGCCCATGTTGGACTTCTGGTGACTGTGACATGTTTACCAGGCAGAAAACAAGAAATTCGGAATACAAGAGAGAAGCTGAGGAATACTAAACGGACAAGGACATGAAAGGATGGGGCAGAACAGTTGCAACAATACAACAAGTAAAAGTTTAGTAAATTAGAAGAGGCCAGGAAATGGACAATATAAGAAAGACAAAAAGAAGAAAAAGTTGGAAAGTAAAAGATAAAGACTGTGACGGCGCCACCCGTGCATTTTGTTTGCAAATATGCCCATCATGTTTCACCCCAAGGATCATTCAAGTCTAGCCGCACATCATCAAATAAGTAATTGTATGCTGTGTTCTTTGTTTGCTTTTTTTTGCGTGCCTTCTTGTGCGATTTGCCATTTGGCTACGTGGCACTGCAAAAGCCACTGAAACAGACCACTGTCTCTAGTGCTCCTTTGTGTGAGCCAATATGAGCCGATGAGCCAAGGAACTCAAGAATGGTGCATGGGCGGACTTTGAAGAAGCTGGCATCAATCGAAGCTAGAGTACTTTTCCAATTGTTTGAACTGCGTCAACAAATACTATAAAGGATATATGTGATTCCATCTAAAGAAGAAGGGACCTGTTTCACACGAGCTTTTCAAGTGCAAACAAGCGAACTGTCTTCACATCCAAGGGCTTAGTGATGATGTTGGAATGATAGTGAGAAACTTGCACCATGATTTCCTTTGACCTTGGCACCATGTGGTTCGAAACTAGGATCCTGAGCCCTTACCCGTTTTTCACCTTGCGGTGTGCGGAAACATGTTTGCGCTTTGAGCTTTCGTTCGAGCGTTGTCGAGTTGGCACCGGAGCTTGGCTTGGTGCTTTTGGCGGCCGTGAAGGCCCCGGCATTTCGATGCCCATCCCTTTCAGGGTTGCTGACCCGGACGACCTCGAGGTTGCCTCCCGCCTGTCGGACTACGACTTCGACTATGACTTCGAAGGTCTCGATGGTGGTGATGGCGGCGATTCGCCATGGTCGGATCCCTGGTCGGAGCCTCAAGCACCAAGAACACCGATCCAGGACACGAAGGATGATGATGAGCCCACACCATGGCGCTGTTTGCGTTGTGATGGCCAGCGGTTCTCTCCCTCGGAGGGCCACAGCGGTTGGATTTGTTTGACGTGCTCCCACGACGAGTTCTACCGGGTCGACAGGCCTACCAAGAAGGTGAACCCCTCTGGCACCTGGGTTTTTGTTCCCACCTCACCTGGCAGGGAGTCCAAGGCCCAGAAGAGACGCCGCAGGAGGACCAAGCATGGAGGCCCACCGGACGGAGACGAAGGAGATCTATATGAAGAACAAGCCGAATCTGAAAGACTCACTCATGACCCAGTGGTTGAACCTGAGCCACAGGATGCAGGACGCCAGCTTGGTGGTTATGGACGAGGCCCACGACGAGCTCTTCCAGGAACACCTGTTCGAGGTTCCGGAGTATCTCAAGGCCCTCCACCTGATCTACCTGATCTACCGGGCGCGGCGGACCTTCCTGGCGCGGCTGGATCGCCACAGCGATCGACGGCTCCTCGAGCTTCTCGATTACCCGATTCAGGACGACTTGAACGTTCTGGACTACCTGACCAGACTCCTGACCGGTCACGACATTCCGGGAAGGAGGACAAGAGCTCATCCCAGGGCTCATGGAACTCAAAGAAAGGGCCAGCACCAGGCCTGAAATGGAAGTCGGGACAACCTCCTCCTGTCCCGACATGGAAGTACGACCAGCCTGACATGAGGGCATTTGCAAAGTTCTTCAAGAAGATCAGCATCTGGCGCCTCCAAATGGAAGCTTACGCCAGCAAGAAGGATCAGGCCCTCATGCTGTACAATGGACTCACAGGTGAGCTTGAACAAGAACTAGAACATTTGGACATCGAGCAAATCCATCGGGATGACGGAGTGGACGTCATCATGAAGCTTTTGCAGCGGCCATTTGAACAACGCATCATCTACCAAAAACGTCGCTTCCTGCACGAGTTCGAATCCTTCCGCCGCTTCAACCAGGAAAGCATGCGGGCCTATGTGCAGCGCTTCAGACGCGTTCAGAGGTCCCTCCTGGCGGTCGGAGTCGACATATCGGGAACGTTTGATTCCGATTCGCTCGGCTCAAGGCTTTTGGACCGCAGCGGATTGAGTCATCATGATCAACGGATGATCTTGGTGGGCGCGCAACAAAGCCTTAGCTTTGAGGCCATCGCAGAATGCCTCGCTCTTCAATGGCCAGAGTTCAGGCCGGCTCCAGCGGTCATGTCTGGATCCGGAAAAGGCAAAGGGAAGAATTTGACCTCGAGCTCTTCTACCTCCTCCTCGACTACCACATCGAGCTTCTCAAAAGGTGGCAGCAAAGGACCACCAAGACGGCAGACCTACTTGACTGAGGTCCCCGAGATGGAGGTCGCTGAAGATGAAGAGCAGGAAGACCCCGAGTGTGACGCTGATGGCGATGCAGAGCCATCGAACGGCGATGACGCCGAAGGAGATCCTCAAGAGGACGAACCCGACCTCTCCGAGCTCGCTGAGGTCCTTACAGTGACAGCCCGAAAACTCAGCGGCATCACTTTGGGTCGAAAGTTTTCCAATTCAGCTGGTGGCAAAACCAAGAAGTCGCCCGAAGAGCTTCGAAAAACGACTCACTGCTCGGCATGCGGCGCCTTGGGCCACTGGTATCAGGACAAAGAATGTCCACTCAATCCAGGAGCTGGTGGAGGAAAAGCTGGAGGAAAGTCCGGCAATTGGGACGCCCCCGGATGAGTTCGGTTCAGCTTTCTCCATCAACATGGTCAATAGCATCCCCTACAAGGTCAATGAGGTCAAGAACTATTCCACGGACGGGGAGCTCGCTGGTTTTATGGTTTTGGATTCGGCGTGCCAAAGGACATGTTGTGGAACCCTTTGGTATCGGCGCCACCAAGACCTTTTGGGAGACTATGGCCTGAAGACCAAGGAGATTGATTCGTATGACCTCTTCCAATTTGGCAAAGGAGATCCCACCAAGTCCACTACAAGGGCCTACATCCCCAGCTATTTGAACAATGTCCCCTTGGTCATCGGTGCCGGTGTTTTGCCCGAGCGTGTTCCTTTGTTGGGTAGCAACTCCCTCCTGGACAAGTTGGGGTCGGTGATCGATTTGCCGAATCGTGCAGTTCATTTCACGGCATTGCATTGTTCAGTTGAACTTCATGTCAAGTGTGGTCATTTTGCAGTTTTCATTTTGGACACCAACCATGAGCACCCTGGCCATGAACTTGTTTGGAAACAGCTTTCGTCACCATCATGTTGGGGAAGGCCACATCCAGAACTTGTTCTTCCACCGCCGAAGCCCATGACAGACGAGGCGAAAGCCCATGGGGTCTTGAATTCGAGGCCCCCGCTTCCTCATGCGGACAGCACCTCCGCCATGGCTGGCGAGATGGAGGCGGATCGTGTCGGCTCTCGACGCGTTCCGGAGGAACATCTGGATCTACATGATGGGGGGCGTGCGGCTGGGCATGATGCCGCGAGACTGGCTCCAATCGGCAGTTCCGCCGATCCTGAGTCCTCGCCTCGACCCGGACTCCTGCGAGCACAAGGACATCAAGAGGTACGGCAACGCCCATGGCCGCTTTGCGAGATGCAATCAGTGCCTGAGAAAATGGAGATGGAACACCAAGAAGGGGGATTGGGACATTTGGTATTCCCGGAGTGGGACATTTGGTATTCCCGCGGCGATGGCTCTCCAAGTTCCTCTTCAGCACCATTGCCATTGCCTCAGCCGTCATCGAAGGCCACACCTCCTTTGGGAGCCTCTCCAAAGAAGATCAAGCCCAAGTTCAAGGCAGCACCAGCGGCTCTACAACGTCAAGCTCGCATCAGGGACTACGAGCGGACGGACCCTACTTCGGTTCCAGATCTTGGAGCAGGAGTCTCCTCTGCAAGCAGAACCTACGACGGTGGCAGAGCACATCTTCCTCAACGAGGAGACCTACCAGCCGCAGCGGGAGAAGCTGGAGATGTTGGCGGATCGCAAACGCCACGAGCGACTGGCCGAGATGGGAGTTCTTCGCGAGGAGGACGACGAGATCATGGATTGGGGTCTGGTGGACGACGAGCTCAACCACATGGTCCAGGGCCTCAACCAGTTGGTACCGGATCCATGAAGTCCGGTCATGCGAAAAGGCTGAAAGGTGAGTGGAAGAAGGCCGCTCAGGTCCTCGAGATGGAGTACAAGGTCAACAACAGCGGCGCCAGCGTGAGAGATCGACCACCACCTCATGTGGACCTATGGGAGCTGTTCGCTGGATCTTGCAACCTGAGCCGCTTGGCTCCACACTACGACCTGAACACCTTGCAGCCCCTGGACATCCTCTTCGGCCAGGACTTCAAGAATGGCTCCATGAGGAAGAAGATCAAAGCACAAGTCGATCAGTTCAAACCCTGGCTCATCGTCATGGGAGTCGATTGCAGGTTTTGGAACTTGTTCAACATCAACCTGAACTGGTCGCACCGACAAGAACTACTTGAGAGCCTGCAAGATGAAGAGCGCATTTTGGTTCAGTTCGCAGTGGACATCGCGCTCATGCAGTACAAGGCCGGGCGATACTTTCTGCTGGAGAACCCCCTGAGATCGAGACTTTGGGAGGAAGACAATGTCTGCCAGTTGAGAGATCTGGAAGGCATTTGGTCCACAGTGCTTGATGCAGGAGCCTACGGTGCGGAGATCAACAATGAGCCGATCGCAAAGCCAATGAGATGGATGGGCAACCTGCCAGGCTTTGACCAGACCCTCAACCTGCGGCTCACTCCAACACAGCGGCTCTACTGCAAGCCTATCCAAGGCTCGATGACTCGAAGATCCCAGCAGTACCCGGACGAGCTTTGTCATTGCATTTTGCAAGAGCTCAAACCTCTGGTGTTTCAACGTGAGCCTCATCGTTTTGGAGCACCACTACATCAGGTCTACGCAATGGCCTATCCCACAGAAGACCTCGGACTGTGGGACCACATCGTGGACTACATCACCAATGTTTATGAGAGGGGAGCAAAACGGCCCTTCAACATTGGCTTGGACACTGAGATGGGCAAGACCATCCAACAGCTCTTCCGAATCAAGGCAGTTCGCCTTCAAGCATGCTATGCACCGACGGCAAGAAGAATTCCACCCAACGTGGACGAGTACTACACCCGAGCAGCTCTCTTGCAGTACGCTGATGGTACTCGCGCCGTGGACATTGAAGATTTGGGCGAGATCGAATTCCCCAAGATGAAGTTCTCCAAGGCGGTCAGAGTGGCAGTGTTTGGATATGGACACCGTCTTGAGACACCTGACCCCAAGCAGAACGAGCTCAAGGAAGACAGACCCGTCATTCCGGGCATGTCAGCTGACATCAGCTTCCCAAATGTCAGCGATGTGGAGCAGCACATTCGACGTTCTGTAGCACGACTACATCTCAACTTGGGACATCCCACGGCTCCAGAACTACTACGACTCCTGGCACATCAAGGCAAAGTACCAGGTCCAGTCATCAAAGCAGTTCAAGGACTGGTTTGCTCCACCTGTGAACGCCTTCGACCACCTCAAGAACCGCGACCTGCATCCATGCCGAGTCTGACGGCAGGCCAATTTGCTGATGAAGCGCAGGCCGACATCTTCTATGCACGGCTGCTGGACGGAACATCTTTTGCCGTCCTCGGAATCGTCGACAAGGCGACAGGCTTCCATCAGGCTGGATACATGCCTGACCGGAACGCCACCACAGCGTTCCAAGTGCTCTCCGACATCTGGCTTCGACCTTTTGGACTACCACTTCGCTTCGTGTGCGACCCAGATCACACCTTTCGAGGTCAATTCGAGCAACGCCTCATGGCTATGGGCGTGATGGTTGAACATTGTCCACCGGAGGCGCACTACATCATCGGCATGGTCGAACGGCGCAACGCCATCCTTCGACTCACTCTGGAGAAGGTCATTGACCAGCTTGGAGTGGTTTCTTTGGATCAAGTCCCAACCGTGCTCATCCAAGCTTGCCACAGCATCAACTCACTGCCCTTCACTCGAGGCAGATCTGGCTACCAGGCAGTTTTTGGCAGGACACCACGACTACCTGACGACGTCCTCACCGACACACAGGTCTTGAGCACCTCCACACAGCCCTTCCGGGACGTTGACAACCCTGGACTCCGGGCAGAACTGGTGAGAAGCGAGGCTATGAAGGCCCTCATCGACCTGAACGCCCAACAACAGTTCAGGCGAGCATTGCTTCGGAAGACCCGCAATGTCAAAGTACCAGAACTACTTCCTGGACAACGCTGCGCAGTTTGGAGGTGGACAAAGAAGGGAGTGCGCAAGCGAGGAGCATGGCTCACTGCCAGGTTCCTGTCCTGGGATCCTCAATACCCAGGAAGACAAGCATGGGTTCGACTGGGAGCTTCAACCACCCTGGTCACTTCAGAGCAACTACGGGCAGCTCACGGGTTTGAAGATTGGTGCCCCGATGAGCAAGATCTGAAGGCCCTCAAGGATGCAAGCAAAGACTTTGGCCCTCAGATGCTCGAAGATGAGAGAGGAGAACCTCCACCCGAGTCTGCGTTGACCCAAGGAGCAGAACTCGAGGAAACCGTCGACTACAGTGCAGCACCGCCACCACCAACACCAACAATGGCTGTACCAGCAACACCGGCGGCAGCAGCACCTTTGACGCCAGCAGCAGCGTCACGGGATCCGACAACCATACATGTCAGGATCGACAGCCCAACACATATGCACCAACACACCACGGTGCAGACACTACATCAGCGCTTTGGGGACCTTCCCAAAAGCCTTAGCACCACGAGGTCAAGACGACCAGCACAACCTTTGGAATCAGCTCTCTCCAAACGGACAAGAGCCACACTGGCTGAAACGAGCCACAGCACTGCAGCACCAGCACTTTCCGCACTGGGCAATGTTGGCCCGACACCGCCAAGAAGCATGTCTCACCCTTCTGATCCTACCATTTTGGAGGATCCACCACAGGACCAAGAGTCCCTGCAAAACATTGCAGAACAACAGGCAGCTGCAGCTCTTCTTCCAGTACCTGAAGACCACGAACTGGACATGCACCTAGAAGAATACACACCAAGCATCCCGGACGTTCCAGACACCACAGAACAGTTCGAACCGGATGAACAAGCCACAGCCACAGAACCTGCGGCAGCGGCAGAACAAGCAGCAGCAACCGCGGGACAAACAGCGGCAGCAGAGGACACAGGACAAACGACAGAACACACAGAACCAGGACCAATGCAAGAAGAAGATCCTTTACCAGTGCTACCGCTGAAGAGGCCATTCGATACACTCTTCATCATGGAAGAGAATGGCACACTTGCACGGGCAGAGCACCATTGGGGTGGAACACCACCCATGGCATATGGCACCACAAGCAAAGCCTTCTTCAAGGTCTACGCAACAACCAAACAGAGACAACAAGACATCAACGGCACAGACAAAGCAGCAGCAGAGAGCGACACCACAGTGGACTCCGACAGTGGAGACTCCAACACTGAGCAAGCAGAATGGCCCAAACATCACAACCCGGGCATGAGCAGACAGGACCGCAAACAGCTGGACAGGGAGATTCCCTGGAGGCACATCTTGACGATGCCACCAGCCTACATCGACAAGTTCCTGGCCGCCATCGACAAGGAGACCAACAGTTGGTCCGAGTGGCGGAGTGTCAAGCCACTCTCAAGAGAAGAAGCGCAAGCCGTCCTGCGAGACAAGATCCTCTCCAAGCGCGCGCTGCGCTCACGAGCCTGCTACCGTGACAAGAATGTGGGCCAAGGTGAAGTCAAGGCAAAATGCCGCATTGTTTGCTTAGGCCACCAAGACCCGGATCTCGAGGTCCTCAACCGTTCATCCCCAACACCTGGAAGGACATCGGAGACGGTGATGTACGCCATGATCGTGGCTGGGATGAACCAGGAGCTCTTCGACACCCAGAAGCCATGGCTGGCATGGGCAGGAGACGCCCAAACTGCATTCCTGCAGGGGAAGCAGAAGGACTCAGAGAGGCCACTACCTCTCTACATGAGGCCTCCAAAAGATGGCCTGATCGAGAAGACCGGCCACTGGCGCTCCGACCTCTACCAGATCTTGGGCAATGTCTACGGGCTCAGCAATGCTCCACACCTTTGGAGCGAGGAGGTGACGTCAAGGTTGACCTCCAAGGGATATGGCCGACATGGCTTTGACCCTCAGCTCTTCATCAAGAGGGATCCCAAGAGCGGCTATCCAGTCAGCATGTTGATCGTCTATGTGGATGACTTCTTAGGCCTCCACCGAGCTGACTATGAGATCGCCGAGATCCAAGACCTCTTCCGCTGGGGCGATCTTCAAAGCTTCAAGGCCGGCCAAGCCATCAAGTTCAAGGGCAAAGAACTGGTCATTGAACAGCTCTCCAATGGCCGACATCGGATGAAGATCACCATGCAGGGCTTTCTCGACGCCCTCGACGTCGGCAAGATCGCAAAAGGCAGGTCAAGTCAAGACCCTGTCATGACTCCCATGGAGCAGAAGGAGTACCGGTCGGTCAGCGCCTGCTTGCAATGGGCAGCGACACAATGCAGGCCTGAGATCTCACCGCTCATCAGCCTCTCCAACCAAGGGGCACAGACCACCTACCAAGGCCTCAAAGACTTGTACGAGGGCCTGGACTACCTCAAGTCCACGTCGGACCAGGGCCTGACCATCCAGGACATCCCCTTCACCAAGGACTCCCTGGTGCTCGGCTACTCCGATGCAAGCTGGTGCAACGCCAGCCGGAGCGGCTCTCAAATCGGCTTGGTGATCGGCATCACCAGCATGGAGGCAAAGCAGAAGCCGGTGAAGTTCACGCCATTAGATTGGCGGAGCTCAAGGGCTCCAAGAGTCTGCCGATCGACTCTGGCAGCTGAAGCCTGTGCTGCTGACGAGGCAGCTGACCGTGGAGCATACCTCAACAGGATCATCTCTGAGTTGATCTACGCACAACCCTCACACCGAGTTGGCTGCCGCATGCCCTATGCCCAGGCCACGGACGCCCGCTCGCTCTACGACGCCATCATGGCTGAGGCACCAAACATCTCGGACAAAAGATCCCTGGTGTCAGTGAGGAGTGTTCAAGAGGTGGTGGACACACACCAGCTCCACTGGGTCCCAACGACCCTTCAGTTCGCAGATGGCTTGACAAAGGCCGATGTCAATCTGCGCAACGTGCGCAGAGCATGGTTCGAAGACCCCAGAGCGGTCCTCGCAGACCACCCGGAGAACCAGAAGCTGCTGGAGCAGCTTGGCGCCAAGGTCAACAAAACAAAGACCAGTGAGAAACTTGCACCATGATTTCCTTTGACCTTGGCACCATGTGGTTCGAAACTAGGATCCTGAGCCCTTACCCGTTTTTCACCTTGCGGTGTGCGGAAACATGTTTGCGCTTTGAGCTTTCGTTCGAGCGTTGTCGAGAGATAGCAAGTGACCACAAAGTAGATTTTGCTATTTCTGTTTGGATGTTCTTGTTTTGCTGAGATCACTCTAGTGGTTCCCGTTGTGAGAAGGAAGAGGAGCTGCAACACCTCATCCGTGCTTGGATGATGGGGCATGACGAAGTCCTGTATGAAGCAAGAGGCCTTCAATACGAGATTAACTTTCGAAGGACTGCAAGTTGAGCAACCTTGAGAGTTGCTGTAGATGAGAAATCAGTGAGATGTTGTGCTTGAAGACGGTTTCGATTGATTTCTCAAAAGGCCTCATTGATCTCAACAGCGATTTGTCCCAAGCTGTGCAGGATGATTCAGATCAACCTCTCGAGTGGAAACAAGCGGCACATCCGGGTGAAGCCACGTCAAGCAGATCCCAATCAGCCTGTGGCAAGCACCCAGGCTTCAGCTACAGACCCTTCAACTACTGCAGCTCCTACCCCGACAGACGCAAGAAGTAGCGGCGAGCCACGTGCCCGATCACAACCTCGCTCAGGTGTGACTCCACCTGGCAGACCAAAGCGCTTTAGCTTGGGCAAAGATGGGAAGGAGGCAAAAGGCGCCGGCCAAGGACAAGAAAGTGAAGGACAAGGAGGAGGCCATCCCAAGCAAAAGCTTTTGTGAACGTCACAAGATGATAAGCCATGATTCACAACTTATGTTTTCTTAATTCACCTGTCAAAGAGTCCAACATTTCGACATCAGATTTTCTGTCAGGCAGACAGACTTGTCACCCCTCAGTCGACACTGACGAGCCGGCTTTGCCATTTGGCGTGCAATGGCCTTCTGCGCAGGCTAAAGCTGCAGCAAAAGCATTGTACATGGAATTGCTGCTGTGATGCAATTGGTGTTTAGGACACATCCATCCCTTGCAAAGCATGTTGTGGGCATCCAAATCATGTTGGGAAAGGGATGACTGAAGACTATGTGTGTGTGTGTGATGCGGCGCTTTTGCGCAAGCAAATGCAGCTTGCTTGGAACGATGAGGCTGTCTTCTCAGCAGTGCACACAAGCGGAGAGGCGGAGCTGCTACAAGCACAAATGCTTGCTGTGGCACCCAGGCAAGAATCTCGACAAAGAGGACAGGATCTTCAAAGTAAAAACAAGGCATGATGCGACTGCATATGTGTGGCAAATAAGGAACAGGATGTAAGGCTATTACTATAATATGTTTGTGCAGCACAGTGAGAGTCAGCTGTAGGATGAGAGAAACAAAATATTGTACACATTTGAAAGGTTCTGAACAAACAAGATAGGGGAAGAACACGTGAAAACGTCTCGAAGGGATGAGCCAACTGAATGTCCTGCCAAGATTATCTATACGAGACGAGACCTTGGAAAAGTATGAGTACTTAAGTTCAGGAAACATAGAAAAAAACGCTCATAAGTTTGTAAGCATTTCTGCAAGTGCCCTGAGATAGTGGCAGACAAATAGAAGATATACGAATGCTGCCAATGGAGTGAGGCTTAAGCGGAGCTCGTAAACTTACATGTTTCAACTGCACGGTTTTGGAGGATGTAGCAACAGAAGTCTTTCAATTTCTGCAGCTGCTTCGAGATTGGTACTTGTCTTGACAGAGTTGGTCAAATGCGGGGAGCAGCCACTACTGGTACCAACCAGCCCGTTCCAATGTTCCATCAGCGGATCATTGATCTGGCACGATGAATATGTGCATTTGCAATGATAGCTGCAAGAGTGCCATGCACGGAGTGCAAACTGATTGTCGAATGAAGCTCGCTTGTTTCACACTGTTCGACCTTTTGTGGACAGGGGAAAGGGCTGAAGATCGGCTCCTTCCAAGTTGCGTGCCATGGAGTGCCTTTCAGAAAGACTCGGCATCACGAGGGAGACTGGATTTGGGTAAAATAAGGGGTACCTCCTGGAGTGATCTAACTAGTGAGAGGCAATGACGACTCGCCGCATCACGATCAACACAATGTTGCCTAATTTTTCGTGAAGAAGCTGTCAGGTCAGGGCTGAACCGGTGGAGGTGGACCGCCTCCTGGTGATCTTCTGCGTGAAGGAACACCAATGGTGGCCGAATACGAGGCAGGTGTGTAAGGGGGCAAGTAGGTTGAGCTCTATCAAAGACACTGGCAAGGACTTGTCTTATTGACAGCGTGTCAAGTTTAATGTAATTTGTCGTGCCTCACCGCCGAATACACATCTCTTATGCAATCAAGCTGCCCCGTTCTGCCACGCAGATATGACATATGACATTGTCCGTTCTTACATGTGGAAGGCCAATAGTTTGGAGATGGCGAAGATGGCTTTGGATAGGGCCTATTGTTGCAACTATGGCCTCTCGGCTGCGCAGACTTTGGGCTGGCAACGCAGAACCACCAGTGCTCACTACAACTGCACGTGTTGGAACTTCTATATGCAATCCTTCGCAAAATGTACAAGCAATTTGCACAACATCATTAAGATGTGTCTTCCACATTAGTGATTTTAAAAGAGCCAATAGAGGTGCCATTTGGCACTGAGGAGAAGGTGTGGCTGCTTGCTCCTTGCTCGTTACGCGCAGAGCGCAGACAGAGCTCTTCCTGGGGGCATCCGTGGCTTTGGAGATGGGACCCTTGCAGCCAGGTGCCAAAGTAGACACGACCTACACGGCGTGTTTGTAAAGTTCTCCTACATTTGCATCCGTTTGCATTGCCCTTGTGTAGAATCCTGCAAGACAATGAAACTGGATCTATATACTAAATTCCACATGCCTATGATGTTTTGGATGCATTCCTCCTTTCCTTTGTTTGGAGCATTGCAGAGTCTCAGGCGCGTTGTCTCCGCTTTGTGTGGCACTGGTCGCCTTATCCAGCCATGGTGGATCTGCCGAGGCAGTCCAAACAAAACCCTAAACTCTAACATGTCCAACGCAAGTTCTAAAGTTTTCTTGCCGCAAGTTGACTTGTTTTCTTGCTGAGAGGACATAAAGCAGGTGGACTGGGTCGCAGGACCACGTGCCGAGGCCCATTTCCAAGTGAATGCTCAGTGTGTAGAGGGGAGATCTTGAAGCCCTACGACTTTGCTTCCCAAGCAATGTATGATGTGCATCTTTGGTTTTGAACGGACCTGTATATCCCACAAAATGATGTTGTGAAGACTGCAAGCAGTGCTGAAGGAGAAAGGTATTGAAATACCGCGATCACCTTCAGCAACATCGATACAAAGTTTGTCGTATTGGACACAACACCAACAAGGACCAACAAGCCAAAAGAACAAATCGCAAAGTTCGAAAAGAGCTGCTAATTGAAAAAATGCGACGACTGTCGATTCGGCAACTTGCTGCAAGGTGGCAGCCTTGCAAAGACTGGATGAGAAACTTCTCGCAGAACTGGCACCAGCAAGCACCTTTCACTTCTCCAAGGCTAAGAGTGCTGGAGCCAAGAAAGAGAGATTGGTATGATTTGGTATGCCTTACAAAAGAGGATCTGGCAATTTGCATTTTATGCGTTTTGCATTACAGGTATCCTTGGATTTCTCGTTTGTCGCCACTGTATTTAGCAAAATGGTCAAACATGAAGGCCTTCTCTCCTTGCCACAAGCTAGGCTCAAAGTGTTTTTATATGGATTGCAGTGGTGTTCAAAGGGAAGGCTCATGATGGGAGACCAGGCCATATGATTTTTGCATGGAGATGTTCATCAGCCGTCTCACTGTCTCCCTGAAGGCATAGGTGAGGCCGCCGAGGCCGAAGCAGCCGAAGCGTGCAACGATAGTGGTCTGCTGACGCCCAGGCAGGTCAGCTGGATTCAGCTGGATTTTTTGACTCAGATTCAACTTGGCTGAGAATAGCAGACATGATTCCGGCAGACACAGAAAGACGAGTCCTAGACGAATGATATATTATGTTTGCGTTCAGTCATTCATAATTCTAGCCTTTTTGCTTTGTGCACGTGAGTCCACAAGTCTATCCTTAGGTGTAACCATTTGTGACAGTGCTTCCACTGCATTGGCTGATAGTTTCATGATGGTTTCGGGCCATCGCCTGTAAGTTCGAGGCCATTGCTATTAGGTTGGAGGCCATTGCTATGGGGTTGGAGACCACTGCTAGTAGGTTGGAGCCCATTGCAGTCAGGTTGGAGGCCATTGCTAGTAGGTTGGGAGCCATTGCTATTAGGTTGGAGGCCATTGCTCTTAGGTTGGAGGCCATTGCTCTTAGGTTGGAGGCCATTGCTCTTGGGTTCGAGGCCATTGCTCTTATGTTGGAGGCCATTGCTCTTAGGTTGGAGGCCATTGCTATTAGGTTGGAGGCCATTGCTTTTAGGATTTTTAGGTTGGAGGCCGTTGCTATTAGGTCGGAGGCCATTGATATTAGGTTGGAGGCCATTGCTATTAGTAACTCAAAAAAAAAATGTGTTTTATGGGCGCAATGATAGGATTCTTGTGGTGTCACGAGGTGACGGGATCCAGAATCGTTTCCCTGAGAGGGGCTGCAGCATGATTTCATGCGTCCGCGCAGATCTTTGTACCGCTTGCAGTATGTAGGAGCATCAGAGTGCCACGCATCATGACAAAAACTATCAAATACTACTTCGGCAAGAATTTAAAGAGCTCATGTTTGCCTCACAAGCTCATGTTTTCGACTTCACGTTTGAAATTGGCCATTGACCCTTCTGACTTCACAGTCCACATCGCTCAAAACGTAGCGTGACTCAAGCAGTTCAAAATGATTGAACAATTGACGTGTTTCGATCCATGCTATCTCAGAGTTCAGGACAAAATGGAGCATAGTTTGACACAGAATCGAACCATGTAAACTAATCGGCTGTGCTGTCCAATCTGGAAAAGCTGAAGCAATCACATGATGAGTCATCAGGGCTTTTTGAACGTCACAGTGTCGAGTGAGAGGCAAAGAAGATCACGAAAATGCAGCAAGGGAGCTCAGACAACATGTTTCTTCCGGCATTGTTGCACTTCTCTGCTGTGGATGGAGAGTTTAGACACAGTCAATCAAGACACCTTGCCGCCTTGTCAAGGAACAATTAAGACAAAGTCAATCGAAAGCGGCCTCCTGAGCCGGGTTTGTTTCGTCGGTCGTTTTTAAGCCTGGCAAATTAATCCTGTTGGAGAGTCGAAAGCCGCACAAGCCCTCATGAATTGTCAGAGTTAAGCAGTTCCGCATTTCTAGCTTCATGACAAGTCGTAAAGATTTTGGAGTTGCTGAAATGCAACTTCGAGGTGAAACAGCAGCTAGGCACTCAGGTGGAGTAACACCTTGCGCTGCGTGACAACTTCGCAGGAAATCTACTCAAAACGACAAGGATCCTGGGCAGAATCCATTTTGCAAACGAACAGAACAGAAAACGAATCGTGTTCACAATACGGCAATACGGTTGTCCTTTTCACTGCTCAAGGGCTGCGTACATCCAAGAGTTTGGCTGACCACAACAAATGCAGAGTCCCTCCGACTCTGCATTTGTTGAGGTATTTGTGTCTCGATACAGTTTCATTTGTGAATCAAGTCAAAACCAAGGCTGTTGAGGGAACAGGCAGAGGTGCAAAGGCCAGATTTGGAGACCCAGATCGGGTTGATCGATCGGTGCAAGATTGATTGTGAATAGTTGGCACAACGGGGATTGAACATCTTTGAACCGAGCAAAGTTAGGAGCAAGAAGCTGCTAGGAACAAGGGCATCGCTACTAAGGAGCAAGGACGCTACTAGGGCTCCTGGCCTTACTCCTAGTTGCTGCGATTCTTGTCACACGAAAGGTTGCTCGGCAACCTTGAGTTTGATAAGCTTTAGCTTAGGAGCAGGATTCTCCCCAATGACCTGATTTTGGGCTCACGGAAATGACTTGGAATATGGGGCGATGGGTGGGCAGGCTATGCGGGGCCTTGAAGCAGAGCGAGGCAGAAGCTCTTCGACTCAGCCAAGGCGGGGCAGTTTTCACTTGTTTTGTCAAGCTGCACTGAGCAGGTTTTGTCGCTCAAGTTTCACCACGATACAATCTACACTTAAACTCCCCCGATCTCAATTCGGGCTAAGCTGTGATCAGAAATGTATGTGGAGAATTGCTGTTTGTTGTTGAGTGTGTTGAGCATCCAACCTCTCGCAGATGTTCAATATTCAGCCGCAGCGAACGAGAAGGATGGGTTCGTTAAGTGTTTCAACACACTGGGCCACGCAAAATATGAAATCTACTCTATGATAGTAATTGATATTATATGATATTATCGTTCTTCTGACAGTCCATGTAATGCATGGAACAATTTCGACAAAACGCTTCTGTACTTCAGTCACTACTTTCTAGCATTCTAGGCCCATGTCGCTTGGTGTCTCCAGGAAAGGATGTTTGAGAAGCAGTGGGTGTCTCAGTTTGGCGAAGACGATTCTGCTGTTTTCACCACGGCACAGGCGTTATCAGGCGTCCATGCAATGTTGCACTCAACTTATTTGAACATTGGTTTCGCTGAGGTTAGCCATGAATGAAAGCCGGATCAAGGAGTCCTTGAGCTCAAGATATCCCCTTTTTGAGTTGACCCATGGATGCTGTCAGCTGAAGCAGTTGAATATAGCTGAATCGGAAGGGAAGAGACAGAGAAAGGATAGAAGGATGGAAGGAGAATGAAGGAGAACGGATTTGAATCTAACGAAGCGACAAATGTGGCCTTTGTTGGAACGAGTCTGAGTTCACCGAAGCGAGGCTGTGTGCTTCACTGATCAAAGCGGAGAGTCACATCTCAAACCTTGAAGCAGGTTCGGTGCACCAAGTGACGAAGAATCAGTGTTTGAGAACCGGCTTGGAAGTATATAGTATATATGTTGTTCTCACTTTGGAATCTCAACCTCCAAATGGCACTCAGGCATCAAAGCCCTTGTGGCAGAAAACAGCTTGAACTCACTGGCAGCATTTCCACGCTCAAGAGTCGGTCCTCTTCGGTTTGATGGAAGTGCACTTGATGAAAGCCACAGAACGACACACATCAGCTGAGTCATTTGAAGCAGTTCTATCTTTTTACACGGCAGCTAGACAATGCTGTGATCTGATCGTCGAACAGCAACTATCATAAGTAGCAGTTGCAGAGCTTAAGTAGCTTTCAGACCCTGCAAGTGCTGATCGGACCGAGTCACTAAGTGTGGCTGGCAGACATGGATTCGGAGAGCACCACCAAGGAAGTCAGCTTTCCGAAAGATCCAAAACAATCCAAAATGCTTTTGGCCAGGCAGCTAGTCATTATATAATTGAATTGAGGCGCTGGTCCCCATAAAATGCCGGTTTGGTGAGCCGTTGAGCTTAGCTGGATTTTGGTGGTTGCGCAGATGACGTAAGATATGAGCCTTGTTGTCAAAGTGTGTTCCAATATACGGCGAAGACAGAGATCAAAGCGTGTGGGCACATATTGCAATCATATTGCATGTGCAGGTCTCCGGAAGTAATCACATCCAACTTCTAAAGACTTGGTTGCACTTGCAGCATGACGGATCCAGGAGCGTAGCGGCGGCCTTGGGATGCAACTGCCTGGTGGCTTGTCACGGCAAATGTCAGCCATGTCTGCCTCCGAAGCGAAGGCTCGCACGTTTGGTTGCATGTAGGCTTGGAGGTCCCCTGGTGGGATTCTGAATGGTACTGTAGTTAGTGAAGAGTCAGGCTTATGCAGTCCAGGAGTCCAGCATGTTTTTCACCCCAGCAATTTCGTGGCGAATGCTCAGATCCTTTGTACTGCAGCATTTCTCCCCAGATTATAAGTTAGTGAAACGCTACAGTTGTTTGTTCAGAACTGAAGAGTGCACGTCATGTTTCTGGAGACTCCAGTGTTTGAACTATCCCCACTCAAAGACTGAATGTCATACCCTGGGTGCGAGGCAAGTTGGACGATGATGAATTTCTCATCCAATGTGTCTGAGGCAGGCAAGCCAAATACAATACCAGGTTTTATCGCGTTTGCATCCTTTTCCAAGGGAAAGCACAGCCTTTTCCACCATCGATCGATCTCCTCCTGGCTTTGTCAAACCATGCCAAATCACAAATCGAAGCCACGCCAAACCCAAGCAATTCGACTTAATGGCAAATAAAGCACACAGTTAGCGCAAAGAGAGCTGTGAGGTTTGATGAGGACATTCGCCAGTAGTGGTAGTTTGGCAGTCTATCTAGCAGTTTCTAGGCCAGTTGTCATTTATTCTTTATAGTTTTGGCAGTGTGGCATTTGGTGGGTAGTAACAGGAAGGCAGTAAAGCATGGGTGTGTAGGAGGACGAATGCATGGCAATGAGGAGGTTGGAAGCCAGCGGTTCTAAAATGGATCCCACAGTGTTGAAAAGCTAAGCAATTAGGGTGTATGGCGCTGCGTGCAGGTATTGAAAAGAAGACTCCTACTTTAGTCATTAGTAAATTAGTCTAATGGTTCGCAGACCGTCTTGCTTGATGTTGCTTTCTGAGAAGGCTGAGAAGATGCTTGGATGGAGACGTTCATGAACACATAAGTTCTTGTCAGGTGGGCCCAATAGATGAAGAGCAGTGGTCCTTCAAAAGGCTACGCGCTTTCATTGAGGACTGAGGGTTCTGAAAAAGATCGTTGAGTCAGGTGGAACTGCTCCTATATGCTCCTTGTGTCCTGTGAGTCGGCGGCGTGTCCAACGTTTCCGTTTTTCACGGTAGGTCAATCCGAGAGGGAATCGGAGAATCCTGCTTGACCGTTGGAGCTCATGCTGCGATGTTTGTTTCTTCAAGCAGAAGTGTGGAGGAGCTTACCACCACAAGTGTTGCTCAAACCTTGCCAAGGGTTATCATCCCACAATAAAGCACAGGGTTTTGCCCAACAATCAGGACAGAATATCTCACAAGGAATATATATATATATGTAATTAATTGTGTGCTTGCAAAGCACATCATCCTGATTTGTTGCCAGCCACCAGAATCTCAATCCAGCGCCTGTTCAGTGTTGATTGCTGGATGACGCTAGATGTGAATACTGCTTGATCCAGCAGGATCGCTTTCAAAGACAAGAAAGGATGATGGAAAGACTGAGCAATCAGCCCCTGAGATGTTTTGAGGGGCTGGAAGCTGGAAGTACTTTGGGAGTGGGATGAAGAAGTCACTGTGGCATAGATGATTGCTTGAAGCAGAAACAGATGTACCAAATATCATAGACTTTAGACAAGACCTCTCCCTGACGGGTTTCTCAAAAGGTCTAGACAAAATGTTGAGCAAGGATAGAGCTTTTTGTGTCATGGTTTGGCGGATCGCTGAGTCAATCTAAGGATACGCTCATTGGACAAGGTACCGTGACACTTATTGTTGAAGCAAAGTGTGAAGGTGGTCGTGGAAAGTGTATCAAAGCATGTCAAACAAAGCTCATGGATCCTCGTGGCATTTTGACTTGATCTTGAGGCAAGTCACTGCAAGTCCTGTTTCATGACTTTGCTTGTCCAGGACTCCCAGAGCAAAGTTGCCGCGACTGCCTCTTGACTGAACTCAGCTCGTTTCTATCGCCCTTGGCTCAAGGCCTCCTTGCGTAGGTTGTGCTCCATGTGAAAGAACCCGAACCCTCTCTCCAAAAGCAACATAACCAATACTGAAATGCTACTCTCCCATTTGTCCATTTTCTCAAAGATGTATTTAAAGATATTTTTAGTAATTATCAAAACTTCCGTGTTACGGACATTCAACAGCTGTTCAACCACCACTCATCATACACCACTCATCATACACCACTCATCACACACCA